GAAGTACTTAGTATAAGACCCAAGAATGTTTCTAAGTATTCAAAAAAGAATTAATTATGAAAGCAGACTTTTAAAATATAGGCAGGGTTGATCTCAGTTTTTTTAATTAAGTCTCAAAGCCACAATTATAATAATAAAGTACCCTGCCTGATTTCTATTTAGATCTGATCTGCCTGTCACCAGAAATTCATCCATATAGTGGGATTAACTGTTCATATGCTCTTTCAACATCCAAGTGCTGTGTGTGGAGCAATGAAGCATGATTAATTTATTTTGTCATTCTGTTTGAGAACATAGGACACCTCTTAAAAAGAAAATAGCCTTTTATTTTGAGAACAGGGATTAATTATGTTCACCTCACCCAGGTGCTCCTAAGTAAATTTTCCTGGACCTTACCTCAGCCACAATGATTATCACCCTTATCAGTGTTCTGCATCAGGACCCTCTGTTCCATGTTGAATATGGGCAAGAGAAATGTGATCACCTGCTGCAGTATGTCCTGGGCCCCTGAGGTGAAGCAGTGCAGTTTCAGGAAAGCGAACAGCATTTCTCTGTGTCTTCCCTGTGCTGGATATCACTGTCATTACCCAGCATGCCTCAGCCCTGTCTACTCAGCCACAGGAATCAGGTTAGGCTTCACACCAAGCCCTTCCTCACCACCCACAAAACACTTCATTTTGCTATTACTGTCTTTAACTCGGCCAAGTATTTAACTAAACTATTGTCTCTTCATTTTTCTTCTAGGTCTGTATTATTATTTCTTTTGAGTCTATTTAAAAATATTCTTAATTGTTCTAAAAGTTCTTATAATATATATTCAAAAAGCAGTGTTGTTGTATTCTTTCACTAATATTTCTAAGTTCTAAATGAATCTATATCTTCATAATGAAGTGTTTTCTAAAAGATTAAAACTTAATGTATGTGATATAAATCCTCAGCACTAAAAATACAGGAAAAATATAGTTCTGCCTTTTAAGGAATTTGCAGTTTACTAGAGACAAGTAAACACACAGTTATGAAATGATTTTGCATATGATGGGAGATGAAATACATGTATATTTTATATATAATATCACTAATAATAACCAGTTTTTATTGTATGTTTACTACTGCTAGGCTGTACTCTAAAAACTTTAAATGTGTTAATGTATTTGATCCTTATAACACCTCTGCACAACTGACAGTATTATCATTTCTTTTTATAAATGAGGAAACAATCTCAGTACAGGGATTTGGGAACTTCCTTAAGGACACATAGCCATAAGTGACTAACCAGAATTAAGCAGAAATCTCAAGAGCCTCTGCTATTAAGTGCCATGTTAGAGGAGCTACTGACCAAGCCAAATCTTGCTGGAGGAGAACTGAGAACTAATTTAAACTGTGTGTAGAGAACATTCCAGACAGAAGGACCTTGATGTACAAAGTCATAATGGCACAGAAGCTTTGAGAACAGAAGCAAAAGTATGGGATAATGTTTGTGGCAATAGACCAGAAGCTTATTGGCAGAATTTAGATAAGGAGAAAATACTGAAATCATTTTTTTGTTGTTAGGCCCCCTACAATGTGGAAAAAGTGAAAAGTCGTTTGTTTGCTTTTGGAAGCATCTTTTCTAAAAATAGGAAATGACAAATATTTGAAGTTGGCAATTTGATGGGACAAATATCCAAAAAGGCAAAAATGTCTTCCTATTTCTATTATATAGTCATCAGCTTTACTTTCTGCCATAAAAGTGAACATTTTTCCACTCTACAGGTGTTCTTAGATAAATAACCCTTTGAACTCCCCAGTCAGTCTTCTCCTTACTTTATTTCTCTTTGTAATACCCTTTCCATACGCTTTCTAGCATTTTAAATTTACTTTAGAGAGAAGTTAAAGCTACATACAGTAGACTAAAACCAGAACCAAAAGATTCAGATTCTAAATTCCCATGTTCCTGATTTGAAAACTAAGGCCCATGGGTTAAATCATTTGCCCAGGTTTAGACAAGTTGATACGCTGGGATTCTCTGGTGGTAAGGGTCCATCTTCCATGCTTAGATAGAAGGCAAAGGCAGAAGCTCGAGCACCAAAAATCAGAGAAGCTTTATTTGCAGAGAAGAGAAAGGAAAGGCCACGTAGGGGCATGCAGAGGGACCCGGAAACCAGTAGTTCCAAGTCAAGTTAGACATCAGGTTTTTTTTTTTTTTTTCATTTTATTTTTTTTATTCATATGTGCATACAATGTTTGGGTCATTTCTCCCCCCTGCCCCACCCCTCCCTTACCACCCACTCCCCCTCCCTCCCCCCCCCCTCAATACCCAGCAGAAACTATTTTGCCCTTATCTCTAATTTTGTTGTAGAGAGAGTATAAGCAATAATAGGAAGGAACAAGGGTTTTTGCTGGTTGAGATAAGGATAGCTATACAGGGATTGACTCACATTGATTTCCTGTGCGTGTGTTACCTTCTAGGTTAATTCTTTTTGATCTAACCTTTTCTCTAGTTCCTGGTCCCCTTTTCCTATTGGCCTCAGTTGCTTTAAGGTATCTGCTTTAGTTTCTCTGCATTAAGGGCAACAAATGCTAGCTAGTTTTTTAGGTGTCTTACCTATCCTCACCCCTCCCTTGTGTGCTCTCGCTTTTATCATGTGCTCAAAGTCCAATCCCCTTGTTGTGTTTGCCCTTGATCTAATGTCCACATATGAGGGAGAACATACGATTTTTGGTCTTTTGGCCAGGCTAACCTCACTCAGAATGATGTTCTCCAATTCCATCCATTTACCAGCGAATGATAACATTTCGTTCTTCTTCATGGCTGCATAAAATTCCATTGTGTATAGATACCACATTTTCTTAATCCATTCGTCAGTGCTGGGGCATCTTGGCTGTTTCCATAACTTGGCTATTGTGAATAGTGCCGCAATAAACATGGGTGTGCAGGTGCCTCTGGAGTAACCTGTGTCACATTCTTTTGGGTATATCCCCAAGAGTGGTATTGCTGGATCATATGGTAGATCTATGTTTAGCTTTTTAAGTAGCCTCCAAATTTTTTTCCAGAGTGGTTGTACTAGTTTACATTCCCACCCACACTGTAAGAGGGTTCCTTTTTCCCCCACATTCTCGCCAACACCTGTTGTTGGTGGTGTTGCTAATGATGGCTATTCTAACAGGGGTGAGGTGGAATCTTAGTTAGACATCAGGTTTTATAGCTTTTTTATTGCTGGTGAGAGGAGTATGTTTCAGCACAAAGAGTCTGGCACAAACAGTTGTCTCTTGGGAAGAAGACAGGGCGTTTCTCCCCCTGGCTAATCACCATCTATAGGGAACACGTGGACTTCCCACAGTCTGTCCTTCGAAGTGGTTATGTCAAAGCTGAGAAGGAACTTTGTATCTCTTGATTTCTGATCAGTGCTTTTTTCTACTATATCTTGCTGCCAGAAGGCAACACAAATAAAAAATATTGCATTGTACATAGAAAAAGCATTATGGATATTCAGGACATTGTCAGAAGTTTATAGTTGGTGTGAGAGTATTTGGGGTAAATAAGGAGCATTTGGCATGACACCTTTGGTCTTCTGGGGATTCAATTTATTTTCCAACAAGATATCTCATACAGCCTCCTGCAATGGGACTCAGAATCCCAATGACCTCCTGAGGTAGGACTCAGAGTTTCTGCTGCTGGTCAGCAATCCCCAGCCTTCCCTCAACACCCCCAAACTCCACAAATTCATAGGCTGTGGCTGTAGTTCAATAGCAGAGCCCTTGCCAAGTGTGCACAAGGCCCCAGTTTCAATATTCACCACCACAAAATAAATAATTATAATAAAATGAAAAAAATAAGTTTCATACTCCACTAATGATTATCACATTTAGGGATGAGGGGTTCACAGATTTCTCAAAGCAAAATCCAACATGTTGCTTTTAAGAATAAAGGAGAGCATGCCATTCCTCTGCTCAAAATCCTTAGAAGTCAGACCTTCCTTCCAGCTAGTTGAGATTAAATACAGAAACCTAACCATGTTGTCTAAAAGGTTCTCTAAAGTCTTGCTCCAGACCTTTGGCCTGATAATGTGGCCACTGAGGTCACTGTACCCAGCAAATCATGCTGTAGGCTATGCATTCCTTCAGTGTGCCCAGGAGGCCCTTTCCTTGGGGCCTTTGCCCTTAGTTTATCTGTTTCAAATGCCCTTAACCCTGGGAATCCTCATAACTCAACCCCTCAATTCATTCTTATAAAAAAACTATCTCACCCAATAGGCTGTCAGGGACCACCATTGTATCTAAAATTACACCCTGTCACTCCCCACTGCTTTTCCCTGCTTTGTTCTTCAGAGCATTTTTGACAACCTCCTGTTTTATGGATTCGTTTTGTTCCCATCCCTCAATAAAATGTAAGCGCTGTGAGGACAGAGATTTTTGCCTTATTTTTTTCACTTCTACAACAATGTCTAATATATAGTAGGCATTCAATAAATATTTTTAGATCAAATGTGAATAATAATTCATTCATTTAAGAAGCATTTACTGAATATTTCTCCTGTAGTAGACCAGGAGTGCTGGGGAAACACTTCCTATCCTCGTAATACATATTGCCTAGTTTTGAGACAAACATCAAACAATTGTACAAATAAGTGTTGTAGTCTTCTGACAAGTGTTACCGAAGTAAGTCCATGGGCAAATGGAGAGCTAATTTAACAGCATCAGAAAAGGCAGGGAGCCTTCCATGAGGAAGTAATGAGAGATAAGAAAAGTTAACCACTTCTTTCAAACTTTGTGCATTTCACTAAATGTGCATTTTACATTTAAAAATAAACCAGTAATAAAGTGGAATTAGTGATATGCATACCTAAGAAGTTAGGGGAAAGGACACTAATATATACAATTTAATTTGAAGCACATCCAAAATATGAATTGGATTAAAGGATAAGCAGAAGGATGGGTAGATATGTGATAAAGCAAGTATAGCATAATGTTAAGTAGCATCTGGGTGGTGAGTATATGGGTGATCTTTGTAAATTTCTTTCAGATGTCCCGTGTGCTTGAAAATGCTCATATTGTTGGGGGTAAAACTGTTAACCAGATAAGGAGACTGGAGGGAACATTCTCCACTGAGGGCACAGTATGTACAAAAGAAATTTATGTGCCATTACACTTGTTTTATGTTTTAGATATTGTCTGTAGAATGGCAAATGCATTTCTAAATATTAAATATAGTTTTAATTAAGTACCTTGTTTCTGCCTTGCACTCTGTTGGCTAATTTATTAGCTATAATTTTAGGTTGTCACTGAGTTTTCTTTGCTACTTGAAAGTTACTGGAGTAGATAGTACCTCGTATATTCAGCATTTTTTTGAAAAGTACTTGACAATTTTGGCTATACTTTCACATTAACTCTCTTACTTGATAATAGTCAGCATCACTTATTCCCATTTTGCAAATAAAAGACTGAAGCTTAGGAGGACAGGGATAAATGATATTCCCCAAACCACAAAATACAAGTAAGTAACACTGCTGGAGCTATAACTATCAACAAATCAGGTATGCTGATATCCAGCCACCTCGCCAATGCTCTTCATCAGTCAACTGGAAACATATGTCAGGGTTCTGTGCATCCAAAAGCACATTTTCTTTACCTGCCACCTAGCAGAAATTGCTTGACTCAGTCTCTTCCAAGAAGCCTTCCTTTATACCGTTTGCCCAGCATTAACAGGTAATCATGTTTAGTTTTGGTTTTGATTTTTTGAAAATGTTCTTAAATTTCTTTTGTGAGTACATTTTAATTTAAATTTTAAGAAATAAAGCAATTTTCATTAAACAGATTGTAGATCTCAAGACTGCATGAAACAGCTGTATACACCTAATTGTTCAGCACACAGAGAGCACTAAGTTAGTCTTCGTTTATTCTCCTGTTATTTTTCCTTTCTGGCAAGGAGTGGCAAGATGATATATAAGGAAATAATCTCAACAATATTGAAGGAAAGGACATATTTGTTCTCTCTGTGTTCCTTTCTTCTTCAGCTCACTCGGGTTTTTTTTTTTTTTTTTTTTTTTTAATTAAAAAGAAAAAGGAAAAAAGAAAATTCCCCAAATTACTTATTTGGAGAGAATACTATATCATTTTAAGCTAATAAGATGATAAAATACTGACTATAATTTGCAATTTGATTATGTCCAGCATTAAGAAAGCAATAATCTGGAGTAGTGGATTCTGTGTTTGAAATAATTCTCTTAAAATTATTGTGAATGAGAATTGGAAAAAATTAAAAAACTAGAAAGCCTTTTGTACTCAGGTTTCCCAGTGAAGATATGCTACCTAATCTCAAATTCTACAACTTTTTAATGGAGGGAGATCTTCTACCACTCTGGCTGTAACATTGTTGCATGAAAACAAATAGAATGTGTTGTTGACCAAAATTCTTCCAGATTTTAGCCCAAATGTACATGCTGATGTCATTGTACACTTAACACCCATGATGTGCCCTCTCACCCCAAGAATGAATAAACACTTCTAAGTAAGTGCCTAATTTTTAGACCTCTCCTAAAGTATGTAGTCTATAAATAGAGGACTCTCCTGATACTCGAAGAAATCACACAGCTCTCCTCCCTGGGATTCTTGATGGACGTGCATCAACATGGGACTTTGCAGGCCTATTCTCTGCTACTGTTCGGGTTGGTTCCACTGAGTGTCTTAGTTTGGATGAAAACAGAGCCCTTTAAAGCCAATGCAGCTGTGCTGGATTGAGGCTCCACGAATGAAAGGCATACAGTATGTCCTTTTCATGATCTCACCCTTCCTCTCCTTGAAACGTGTTTACTGACGTCCTTTCACCACCTTTCAGCCATTTGTCAGGAAAGTTTTGCAGTGGATCTCTTTCCAAATGGAATAAAATTACATTTTAGAACCCAAATAAACTGCTTCATAACCTTCTTTATTTAGTATGTGCATTGTGCCAAAAATACACACACTTATTTTTTAAATAAAAATATAGACATCTGTCTTATTTATCATCTATACCTCAAAGAGACATATGATTTCAATAACACTAAAAGAAAATTATATTATATGTTAATAAGAAAATAAATATGCATTTTTACAAGGAAGTATATGTACTAAAATATGCCTGTGGTTAAATTCATCCCTTAAGTTTTCTCTACAGGAGTCAGGAATCTAGGAATTACTATGCATTCCCTTCCTTAATTCCTTGTTACTGCTACTTATGTTGTCATATGTTATTATTTAGTTTTTTTCTATTGTGAAACAAAGGAGCATCTAAGGAAAAATGTATTGTAGGCCAATACACACTGCTCAACTCCATAAAAGTTTGATGTGTCTTGAAATTTTGGAATAGTAAAACTGGCACCTTATTTTCTGCCCTTGTCATCAACAGATATGGGAACACAAAGCACAAGTGCAAAAGCCATAGGGTGTAATAGACAGGGTTTCTAACTTTCATTGTTGCTTCCACTGTTTGATCTTGCCCTTAGTCTGGAGAAAATAAATCAAACAGCAAACTTTTGCTTCTGGGTTTTTAATAAAGTGGTCAAGATACATGGGCTTATTAGAACATGGTAACTCTGTCTTTGTCTTCATTCAGCTAGTGTTTATTTGAGGCAACTCTTATAGGCCAGAGAGTGTGCTCTGCTAGCACAGCATGTTAGGTAAAAAGAGAAAGCGCTGTTAGTATCGTAAGACTCTTTTTACACTTAGCACTTAGTATATAGAATCTGTGTGTGTATGTGTTTGCGTGTGTGTGTGTGTGTGTGTGTTTGTGTGTGTTTAGATACATGGTCCAGAGCATGCACTCCTAGGCATTGATGAGATAAAATTTTTGATGGTTTCACCTTAAAACTTGTATAGTAGAAATAAGCCCTTCAGGGACATAGCTTCAAAATCTGACTGCTAAGAGTTGACTGCTAGAAATAGATTAGGAATTTACAGAAGTACTAATACCACTTCCAGTTGCCTTCTACCCTTTTTTTAGCTTGATTTGCCATGAAAATATTTTTATAATAAGAACATTGCCATTTCTGGATTCATTGCTTAAATTTGCATCTGTTTTGCCATCACTGAACAGATACTTATACCTTCTGATCCTCAGTTCTCTCATGTATATTACGGTGATAACAGTAACATCTACTACATCACATAATGGTAAGAGGATTAAGAGGTAGATGAAAATGTAATGCAAAATTGAAAGAGTTGTGAGTTACATTTTTGTGGCTTAGCCTTTCATTATAAGATTGAGATTAGCTGATCCTCTGTCTTGCCAGTGCTTCCAGGTCATGGAAGCTTCCCATGCCTCTGAGATAAACCAGATATGCACAATGCATTGATTCATTATGGAGTCTTCATTGTGAATTTTTCTTTGTTTTCAAATTTGGTATGAAATTTTGTATCTTGTAATAATTTTCAGAGGAGAAACATTTTTCTAAACCTTTGTGTGGGCATCTTAACTTATTCTAGAAAATTGAATTAAGAAAATTAATGACCAGGCAATTTGCAGGTACCATTATCCTGAAATACACTTGGAAAATCAATCCCTTAATTATAAAGGTAGGAATTTCCCTTTTAAAGCACTAGGTGATGTAAGGCAGAAAAAAATTCACCAACTAAAAGATAAAGTTTCCCTGTCTCTATAAAGATGTGTTTTCCCCTAGAAACTAACACCATACTTATGGTATCCTCAGTATCCAACAAGTTCCTTACATAAGAATGCATGTCTACCTATGGATCTTGTCTCAGTAGTACTATGTTTATTTTGGGGAAAAGTGGATTTGAAATGATGTGTAATACGTGAAGGTTGTAATCACAAAACCAGCCAGTTGCACATTCTAAAAGAAAAAAGAGTGGAAACATATGCATGTTCCCAAGTCTTTATGCCTAAGTGGTGGTATTAAGCATGGACATACACAGAAAGAGAAAGACCAAGAAATAAACATACTCCTAAAAATATCACCTAGTGATTAAAACCTATTATTGAGATCTGAGATGCCTGCAGGCCTGAACACATTGTCTTCATTTACTTATTACTATTGCAGGTGCCCTAGAAATCTCAACTTCTCTTCTTGGAATTTCTCTACAATAGGTGCACTACACTTTTTCTTTTTATACTTCTTACATCTTTTGCAAATACATTATTCTCCCCCCAGTGAGTTAGAAGCTCCTGGAGAACAGGAAATATGCCATCTATGTCTTGTGGATCTGAAGACTCATATTTGTTGTTAACTGATGGGCCAGAATATAAGGATGAAGGGAAAGGTCTATGTACCAGAGAGTATTTGTAATATTGAGGAAGATATTTAGAAGTAACATGTAAATAAATATAATCAAGCCAAAGCTGGGTTGGGGGTTAGCTCAGGGGTAAAGCACTTGCGTAGGAGGGGAAAAAAAAGCCTCAACTGAAATAAATGAGGAAAAAGTGCAAAAGATCAGTTAAGCACTTAATTAAAAAGGAACCAAAGAATTTTTACGGATCACTGTGGAGCAATTTGAATGTACATCCAAAAAAAATCTTAGTCAAAATAAACTAGTAGGTAAGCATATGCAAACAAAAAAAATGGTTTCATGCAGTCACTTGATTAATTGAAAATTTTAAGCAACAATATTTATAATAGACTGGGATTTTACAGTGGGAAAAGAGATCATTTGGTTTTTTTTTTTGAGCACAAGCTGTATTTAACATACTTAGGTTCAGAGGATCAAAAATTATGGTATGAAAAAAGTTTTAATACTAAAAGTCTATTAGAATCTGTTTATAAAGAGGATTTTATTCAGTGCACTAAATTTTACTTTAAAAATCATCAGGTCATTTCTTTGTATTTTAATGTGGAAGAGCCACTATAATTCTTTTTTTTTTTCTTTTCAGTAGGTCCTTTATTCCAAGGTGTGCATCCCTAGTCCAAAATGAATTACTCCAAATTCCAAAACTTGTTCAGAACCACATGCAAATTATACACCTAACTTCATGTGATAGGTCACAGTCAAAACATAGGTGCAGTCAACTTTAGGTTTATATAGAGCCACTATAATTCTTTAAAAATCTATAATTTCATTATTTAAATAAATATAACCTATGTTGTGGGCGCTCTCCTAAACCTGAATGCTGTGGCCTATATTAAGAAATGTCATTTTGGTGAATCTTCCCTATCCATGAAAAAATTAAATGAAGTCATTTAAAATGCATGGCAGTTTAAGAGAGCACAGGCGGGAGAAAGACTAACAGTAACATAAATGTTAAGCAGGAGGAACAAAATACTGAATCCTTTAAATAGACCATGCAAAAAGAAGACTGTGTACATGAAAAAACAGCATATTCAACTTTCTATTAAAAATGGCGAATTAAGAGTGTTCCTGCCCCAATCTTTCATAAAAATAAGCATGAAGATATAGAAACACTGATTTTTTTATGAGACAAAACTACAAGATAGCCTTAACTCCAAGTCACAGAACATTGAAATGTGGTAGAGTACCTCAGAACAAAAGAGGTAAAACCCAAGCTCCTATCAAGGAGATAGCAATGAAAAGCAAGCATTCGTTCTGCAGAATTCCAGAAAGGATTCTGAATTGAACTCATTGGAACAAGGACTGCAGAAGAAGGAGGTAGAAATTGATAAAAAAAAAAGTGGGTTTTAGAGTTAGACCCTTAATTTTTTATCTCCATCAGGCCTAACTGTATGTAAACCCTGTGGGAGTCAGGCAGTATAAACTCTGGAGTAATTACCTCAGTGAAGCTCTGGATTGGAGATGCCAGGAAAGAACATCTCTCTGGAGGTAGACAGAAGGTTTCAGATAGGAAGGTTTAGCGAAAAATGCTGAACTCCTTGAGAAAAAAATTCTGACATACTCATAATTTAGAGGCCTCCCCCAAATAGCCAATTGACTGCATGAGTTGCAATAATTCAGTTACTTTATTCTTAATTTAGATATTGCTTGTGATAAGTATAAACCCTGAAATTTTATGGCTTAACTAGAAGTTGTCATCTCATATTAAAGTCCAATGTTATGGGCAGCTTCCCTGTGTCTGAGCATGTGGACTCTGAAGGGCCTTAGGGCATGAGTCGGAATGAAGAGATAACACACAAATTACTAACTGTCTCAGTCCACAAGCAACACACTCCCAGTCCTTTGTTCAGAACCATCCATATGGGAGCTAACAGAGAACACATGGAATTTGGGTAGCCACTAACTTCTCTACAACTCTGCACATTTACGCCCTAGTTCTTGCAAGACACTTCACTTTCTTCCCGTGCTTATTTCACTGGACAGTTAAAACTGATTTTAAATTCAAAAGCTAACACCTCTTTCCTTGCTAACATATTGTGGCACTGTGACAGGACTGAGAACAGAGATCTATATTACACATGTTATGCAGTCTCTGCTCTCAAGGTTATTCCATCTCTTAACTTCTCATTTTGCATTGGCTTTGAAATAATTTCCAGATCATTCTTTCTTAAGTTTATATTGGTTGGGTATAACAGAACTAGCAAATCAAAGATTGTGTAGTAAGTTACTGATTTATAATCAATACCATCTTTTGCCCCGTCACAAGTTTTTACTTTCAGATATTTCTTCTGACTTTTGAGAACTGCTCCCCATTTCCTTTTTAACTAAACTAATTACTGAAAATTTTCTTCTTCATAATGGTAACATTTTGAGGATCCCTGATACACTCTATAAATAAGTAACTACAAATTCATCTATTTCTCGTTATTATTTGGTTTTATTTCTGATCACTGAAGTACGTTTGTAAATTAATATGAATGTGAAATGCTCTATAGAAAGTTTCATTCATATCAGTTGAAAGCAATTATCCAAGAAGAATTTTGATATCTGAGTCAGTCTTGCATAGGCATCTCATAGGCTTTTTGAAAGGAAGTAATTCTTCTAACTTAAAAAAACACATTTAACTTGGAAATATCTGTTCTTATTTAACTCTCTAAATATATAGTTTGATCTGCTTCTACCAGTAATACATCTCAATTTTGGCCTTTAGATTCTGAAAGTATTAATCAGTTTTTTTTTATAATGTTTGGTTTCCTTGTTTTCCTTTTCAGAGTACCCAAGTGGCCTTGGACCATCTAGAGTCTGTGCCTGAGAAACTGAGCCTCCTAGAAGATTTCAGAGACTTCAGAGTGAGAAACAGTTGGCATATCTCTTTCACTATTAATATCTGAGAATAGTTGACATCTTCCTGATGTGTAAGGAAGTTTGTAGGAAGGGAGGAAAGACCAATAAACACTCAGGACCTTTAACACGTCATCATATCAAGGTTCATGACATTTATGAACTCAGGACTGAAAATAACAAACATATTATTATTATTATTATATTAGAATATAGGAAAACTGAGACTTTTACTACTCTAATTTCATTTGCTGAACAGTAATTTAGGGAAACTTAATAATTAAAGGGAGTTACACATTGACAGTAGATATCTTTTTTGTAATAAATTTTAATTTATAAATTATCTTTTTAACACACTTAGGATCCTATTTGTTTTAGAGATATAGTAGTTCACTGTACTATGGTATATGATTTCAGATCCACATAGAGTTTTAGATTTAATTTCCTATTTACTGATAGTTAGCCAAGAAGCATTTCATTATCTAGCCAATTTATTACATGTGCAAGTTTACATGCTGTCATTTTATTAAGCTCATCACACAGCGATTCAAAGAAAATAATTTTGCCATCCAGTCCTACCAAAAGTGGTCCTATCCAGAGAACATATTTATACGTCACCTTATGGATGCAAATGTAATGTACATTTTTAGTGATTTATAATTTATTATATTGACAGTATAACTTAGATATACATATATCAGTGGCCAAAACTAACAATATTTTTCTTTGAAAACTGTGCAGCCAGTTATTTCACATTAGCCTTAAAAATAAGGTTATATTTAGGTTCTCTTTAAATCTAATATTATTTGAAGATACAGTAAGTAGGAAATATAGCCAGATAGCATTGATATGCTAGAAGTATCGATATGATGTGTTTCTCAAAGTGTACACTATCATTAAAATTGCCTTATAGCCTGGAGGCATGTCTTAAGTGGTAGAGTGGTAGCCTAGCAAGTGCAAGGTTCTGAGTTCAAAACCCCAGTACCACCAAAATAAATAAATAGATAAAATTGGCTTACATAAGCATATTTTTGATAATAACTAAATATTTTTGAGTGAGATTCATCATTGAGCTGACACATCCTGAAATCTTCCAAATAGGACAAAACAAGTGTTTCAAGTATATTTTACTGATACTTCCTCATGATTTGATTATGTATTTGCAGTTTAAACCCATGTCAATTATGAAACTACCATCCAAGCCCATGTAATTTTCCTTCATCCTCAAATAACCTTATATGAATAGTAGGGAATAAGCATATCCTTCCTCTTTTTTTTCTTGCACTAACAGAAGTCATCTAAGTGAATGAAGGACAGGCACATGCAAGTGCTGGAAACAGGTGGCACTTGCCACTGGGAACCGATGCCTGTCTTACACCAGCATAAGCATGTAAAGTTCAAGCCATGACAATTCACTTGTTCCCTGTGGTCTTCATTAAACAGAATGCCCATAAGTACAGTTCAAAAGTTGCATTCTCTACCAAAAGTATTATTGTTAATTTTTTTATCTTAAGGGCTAATAATTATCTGTAAGCCTACTTTATATATATACACAAACTCAAATACAAAGAGATTTTTATAGTGACTTTTCTTAGGAAGAATATTTTTCAGACTTCAGAATTATATTTTCTGGTACATTAAAAATAGAACTTTTAACTTGAAAAGGGAAAGAAGTTAATTAGCAAGTAATTATGCACATACTGTGTGGCCAACAGAAGCCAAATCCATTACATTTTTCCTAATCTAGTAGGAGACATTATTCTATATAATGTCTCCTATTAGATAGTATTATCCCTGTTTTACAGAGGAGAAAACTAACGCTTGAAATGTGTGAATTGTTTGGAAGCGGAATCTAATTCTGAGTGCTTTGCCCTGCTGCTTGTAAAATCAAAGCCCATTTATATGTACTCTAAAGCCACATATATAATTAAAAAGAGTTCATTTAAGTCAGTGTCATGAAACAACTAGATATAACCTTAAATGAGAAGCTTTATATTATTCAAGATAGATTCTATTTTCAAACCACTAACCTTTCTAAAAATCAGTGTGTCATGAACCAGAGTGCAAAGACCTGTGGTTCATGCCCCAGATGAAGTCATTTAATGTCTCAGGAGCTATTTCCTTATCCATAAAATGAAGAGCTTCAACAATGTTACCTCTATGTTTTTTACTCATACTGTGACCACTGGTATATATGTGAAAATATATTTCACAAATATATTTCTTTTTCATTTATTTTTGTTAACATATTAATTGTACATAATAAATTTCATACTTTCATGCATTATCATATAATGTGTTCTGATTTAATTTCTTGATAGTACTATAGTCTGTATGACTGTAACTATGAGTACAAAACATCCTGTTTTGATAGACTTGACTTTATTTTTGTTTAAATATGGTCATCTTCCCTTCCTCTTTCCCTCCCTTTTCCTTCCCTCCCTCCCTCCCTCTCACAACCTCAAAAAGTTGATTTAGCTCTGTCAGCCCACACATAACCATCATATGTTTGATATAGTGGAAAGGAAATGGTATTGGGTTCCAACCCATCTCTGATACAAATTGCCTAGCTCTAGGCAAATCATTCTTAACTTCTATGAGCTTTAGCTTTTTATTTTTCCTATAAAAATGATAACTTTGGAATTCTAACTCCCCTTCCAGCTTGAACATTCAATACAATTTTAAGGTTCCTTGGTACTATTTGAGGCACTAAACTGCTATAGATGATTTTTCATAAATACCTGAATCAATTGACCTCATTTTCTTCTAACATCTCCCTTAATCATGAAAGAAATATCTAAATAATTGGCTATAGTAATGGTTTGCTATGTCACTTCCTTCTCTAAAAAGTGAAAGGAAAAAAAGGCGAACAGAATTTTTCCTTTCTTAATTTCTTTATTGTCTGAGTTTTTTATTCTTGCAAAGACAGATGAATTATCCTTAAGTTTAAAAATTTACATAATATAATGTTTAATATATTGAATGCTGCTTAAGGATAAGTGAAACAAAAGAGCTTTGGCTTTAAAGGTAGCAGTTTTTAAACAAGGAGAGTATTTTGATGCCAAGTTACTCCTCTACAGAATAATAGTGCAAACTATCCAAAAGTGTTGTAGTGACATTAATGACCATCTTTGCACAACTAATTATTATTTAAACCCTGTACTTTTCAACAGAGCCATTTCTAGATTGTTATGGAGACTAGTTCTGAAAACAATTTAAATAATCAAAATCTGACCAATTTTATTTTTATGGTAGTGTCCACAATTACCATTTTTTTCTTTTTCCTTGGTGGTCTGTTTTTCACCTGTACATCTCTTTAAATGCCTATAATTACTTATTAACTATATCCATATTTTTTTATTCTAACTTCAAGCATTGATTTTTCTTTTGTTCACCAGTTTTGACCTTTTATTATTTTTCTAGGATTCCTGCAGTTCATCTGAGAGAATTGATGGGAGATATTCTAAATACAGAATTCACAGAGATTCTCTTCAGCAGCACCGAGATGACACCAAATACAGAGTCAAAACCTTCAAAGTAATGGTCTTTATAGCTCTTTTTAGACTTTGAGTCTTATCCATGTTTAAGCCTCTAACCTCTTAAGCAAACCCTGCAGTGTTTGTGTAAGGAAATTTGTAAAAGAAAGTATTTCCCTTGATATGTGAAATAGATTTTCAGTCAATAAGAGTATGCAAAGATTATACTTATACCTTTTTCAGGGGAATTAAGCCTTAAGTCTATGTCATTGTTACTTAGCATGTTGTTTGTCTGTGGGAATTAATGCTGCTTAAGAAATCCTGAGCTAGGAAACCCTGGTCACTCATTTGATCAAAGACTTACTGTGGATGGGTAAATCAAGATGCCTTCAGCACTAAAATCCCCTAAAGTTCAAGTAACCTACAATATTTTGTAAACTATAGTCTACTCAGATGCACTACCCATCCCAAGTTGTGACATCCAAAGATGTCTCCAGCCATTGCGAATGAACTCTATGGGGCAGAATTGCCCCCCATCAAGAACCTAGAGAGAATCCATCTATGTTCAAATGTGCATTTCAAGTCAATTTTTTTTTAAAAGCTTACTTCATATTCTTACAAACTAACATTTATGAATATTCATGACACTGTATATGTTCACTTATTACCAAATGTAATTATTTCTAAGAAGCTTCCTCCCTGTGAATGCAATTGGATAGACTGCTCAGTGGATATAAAAACAGTGCTTATTTCCATAAGCCCTCCTTAGCATGCTTAAAATGAACACTACCCTCCCTCCATCTGAAACAAAACTTAACACAATTATGCCACTTCATTGATACCTTTAATATAAAAAGGATTCTTATGACTCTGTTCTTTTTTATCTTTGTTTTCTGTAAGTTAGTATTATTGGCTATAGTGGTGATCTTACTGTCTTGTATGGCAATTTTTAAGTTCCTTAAATCATCTTCTAGCAGTCCCATCAGGTCCCATATAATCAAGCATTTCTCCTTAAATAGCAATATAAAGATTAGGCAACAAGAGCAAGTGATAATAATTATTAATCATATATTAGTACAAACTACATGAAACTACCCTTTTGTAACTATTGCATTTCTTATGTTCATTATCGTATTTAATCCACACAGCATAATGATGTCTGGTAGGCATCATTATTTGTTTGCTTTTATAATTCAAAAAAGCAATGTCATAGAGTGATTAAATGTTTAAGTCAGTATTAAAACCTAAGTCTGCCCGGCTTCAATATTCTATGTCCTTGACTGGCTTCAGTATTACATATCCTTGACTATGCTATTACACCTAAAATTTCTAGAAATCATCAAATGTAAGAGTGTACTTTCAATATGTAAAAGTTAATTTTCTCCAAAAATACAGAAACACAATACATACCTGTTAGTTCATCAGCAGCCTAGATGCAAATGAAACATTTAAAATGCTATTTCCTAATAACTAGATTTAGTATCCAGTAAATTAATGCTATCTAGAAGCACCCAAATTACTATAAATCAGTACAAGTTCCAAAACAGCATATGGCAAAAGTATGAATGTTTAACATGTTCAATAAGTAATCTTATTGGAGTTCTGTTTAAAATTGTATTTATAACTGAAGACAAAATCAGGCCTAGTTTGGTAGTACAAGTATAGCATAGGACCAAAAAGCATATGTTATGTTGGCACTACTCCACACTAAACATTTTAAAACTTCTACCCATTTCAGGGATAAATGTATAAACAATCACCAAATGTCACAGATACCTGTCTGGAAATTATAAAATGATCCAACAAAAAAACTGATGAGAATATCACTTTTTTTTTTTGTAATGATTGGAGAAGAAACTGTGAGAACACTTTTTGTCCTTGTAGATACTAGTGATCTTTTATGAAAATACATCACTTAAAGAAACTGAACCAGGAGTCTAATTCAAAAGAAGCATGTGAGTAGGAAGTTGTAAGAAGGTTAGGTTAACCATTTTTTGGTTCTGAAGATAATCAGAACTACCATTGGTTAGTCACTGACTATCCTACAAATAAGAGAAGTTGAAACTCTTTCTATGAGGAGAGAAGGTGCCTCATTTACTACATCAGTTTCATAAAACATTATTTGCTGAGTAAAAGGTATATTACAGGGACTTGAGTTCAGTGGTCCTGCTGGAAAACCATGTGTGCATCCAGAAAATCAAGTAGTACAGAAAGAAGCCAGTTTAACTCAATACACACATTGCAGTACTATATTGCAAAATACTGTAGTACTTATTGGCGGTGGACTAAGAGGCAGGTGTGTAAACACGCAGAAACCATGATCTTTGATGAGGGGTAATTACTTAATCATCTTACTTCTAACAAATCATTCTTGCACAGTTTTTCTAGAAAAGAAAACAAAAGAGGCCAAATCTTGCCTGCCAACTGTCTTTTTAAATAAAGTTTTATTGGAATACAGTCACACTCCTGTATTCACATATTGCCTATAAGTGCTTTTACACTTAACTGTAAGATTAAGTGGTACACCAAAAACTGCATGGTCCACAAAGCCTAAAATATTTACTATCCAGGTTTTTATAGAAAAATATACCAATCCCTGGTCTAGAGAAAGGAGAAATAAGCAAGTTCTTTCTTCCTTATACTTTATGTGAAGTATTCCCTTTGCTTTATTTACCAATCAAGTAAATACTGTTCAAACTCATTGAAAAGTCATAGTACTTAACCATCCATTTAGCATGTAGTTATTTAGTGCCACCTATGTGCCTAGAACTTTCTAGGCATATAAGATTCATACCAGTGAGCCTTTTTAGAGTTTCTGCTCTAATTGAAGAATATTCATGTTTGTTGTTATTTTTCTGAGCATAATAATCAACAAACATTTATTGGGTTTTTAGTAATTACAAAGTACTATGCTTGAGGTTCAGGAAAGGCATAATGAGAAAAACCATCATCAATCCTTAGAAATTTAAAGCCTCCATACAAACAATGGTAGTGCAAAGGAGAAAGGGAAAAGATGTGATAAAGGTGACCCAGGTAAACCTCATTGCAGGTGCAGAGGAAAGAAAGAAGCTGAAGAGACTTAAGAGGCTTATAATGACAAAGTTCAGGAAAGTGTTTTTCTGTGTCTTAGTTTGAAGGTCCTTATTAACATCCTAGCATACCTGATACAAGCTGACAAGTAACTATTGAAATAGCGCAATTGTGTTGCCATCTGGTTTCTCTCATGTTGTTGCTCTTGCAAGAAAGCAGTGCAATATCCAGCATGACCACCACCTCCCCCACCTCCTCCTCCCCCCACCCCTTGAAGAGATGGATAAGCGGGAACTGGGCCAGTGAAGTTCTCTTTCTATGCAAAGCCTGAGCTGAACTCCTGCTGTTTATTCCCATGGCAATCAGCAGGATGAGAAGGATCAGATTTCTAGAAACCTGTGGAGAGTCCAAGCAGTGTAACCTGCACAATTTTAAGAGCATAAAATAATATAAAAATATGATAATATAATATTGTACTAAGCTGAGCAAGCTAATTGAACAAAGCCTGATGTAAAAGTTTATGTCCAGAATTCAATTCAAAGCTGAGTCTAACACATTTTCACTCTCTGTAGACAAGAAGCATTTCATGGCCTCTTTTCTCTCCACCCTAATTGAGTTTCTGTAGGACATGTGTCTTCCTTGCTGCCCCAGCTGTTTCAAATAGTAGAATGCCCAAAAGTCAGCCAGTAAACAGCATTACTAATCTTAATTCATGGAGGAGTATGATTTTGTCCAAGAAATTCCCATTTGTTACTTTTACTCATACTAGATTTTAGTATGAGTGTTTAGTATGAGTTTTTAGTATGAGGTTTTAACTAACATTGGAATTTTTTTAGAAAAATGACAAAAGGCATATTTTTTTCCCACTTTTGCTTCCTTGCAAGGAAAATCATGATTTTTTAATTTGAGTTGAAGAGTTGCGATGCAACTGCTTTTTAAAAAAGCAGATGTTTTCTAGTATAAGATGAGGTAGGTGAGGAAGTGATGATAATGGCTTTCAGCCATCTCTGAAGGCAGAGTTACCCAAAGCCCTTTGTCATATTTGTTTGATGTAAGCATGTGTATGATGCAAGTACATATTTTGCTCCTGGAAGTCATTTCTCCCTCATTGAAACTCTCTGTGATTTGTTAATGCCTTGCTCATAACAATTAATGGCTTTTAGTACTTCCTCTCTCAAGTCAACTATTTGTGACTTAAATCTACAACTCTGGCTTCTAAAGCATGCTATGCATAACTCCTGGCCAACTCAAGATTGTAGATGATGCATAAGCATTTTCATTTTAATAACTATAAAATATATCACTAGTGTATTGTTCATGTAATTTTACAGATATTACTTGGGAATAGCAGCAGAATAGAACCATGGTAGAATATGAGAGAATGTTAATCTACAATATCCTAATTTTCTTATTTGTAGTCACCCTTCTTCATGCTTTGATGAAAAACTATTTATAAAGCTAAAAATCGTTAATGGATCAAAAGTGATTATTCAGGCTAAATGTGGTAATATTTGGAAGGCAGAGGTGGGAGGCTAATGGTTTGAGGTCTGCCTTGTACAAAAAGCAAGAGACCCTATGTAAAAAATAAACTAAAGCAAAAAGAGGGCTTGGGGTACGGCTGGAGGGGTAGCATGTTGCCTAACAAGCATGGGGTCCTGAGCTCAATGCTCAGTGCTATCAAAAAAAATTATTCAGGAACAAGTAGTCCTTAGTTAAGCATATTAATTTTTTAGTTCTAGAGCCCCACTGTACCAAACACTGTTCCCTTAACTAGGTATATTAAATTATGTGCAATAAAATATCAATTAGAAAAGAATACACTTTTAGGACTACTAGAAAAACTACTCAAAGATTCAAATGTCCTGAGCTAGCACACAGTATTTCATGAGCCTGTTATTTTCATGGATGAGTGTTCCTTTGGTTTTATAGTATTGTTGAGTCAGTTCCAATTTCCTACAGAAAAGATACTTTGCAGAATTTGAAGTTCTGGCTGCTCAGTGGTTCTATCCAGATCAATTATA